GATTTATTTAATTTGTCTTCTGTAAAGACATGCTAGTTCTTTTCCACCACTTATCCATTCAGTTGTTTATTTTGAATATGGACTTACAATTTTTTATGCTTAAAATCCAACACTATTGTTTTTATGACTCAAATTGTCCCAGTCTTGGCTACTAGAAACTCCTTCAGGTTGACTCCTGTATTCTTTAGACTTTGTCTTATCCCCTACCCTCTTTTATTTATTTGTTTGTTTGTTTGTTTGAAAGGCCGAGTTACAGAAAGAGAAATGGAAAGAGACAGAGAGAGAGAGCGAGATCTTCCATATGCTGGCTCACTCCCCAAATGGCCACAATGGCCGGAGTTGGGTCAATCCGAAGTCAGGAGCCAAGAGCTTCTTCCAGGTCTCCCAGGTGGGTGCAGGGGCCCAAGACGTGGGCCATCTTCCACTGCTTTCCCAGGCCATAGCAGAGAGCTGGATTAGGGAAGTGGAGTAGCCAGGACTTGAATTGATGCCAATATGGGATGCTGGCGCTGCATGTAGTGGCTTTACCCACTATGCCATGGCCACAGCCCCTTCCCTACCCTCTTTTTCATGTTATTTTTATTAGCAGACTTTTAATTTTTAGAGTAATTTTAGATTTGCAGAAACATAGCAAAGATTTTTGTACACAGAATTCCCATACTCCTGACATTCAGCTTCCCCAAATGTAACCATGACACACTTGTCAAAACTAAGGAAACAACATTGGCCCACTACTATTAACTAATTCCAGGTTTTACTTGCATTTTGCCTGTTTTCCAGGTCAGGTCTTTCTTCTAGGATCTAATCTAGGATACTGTCTTACACATAGGCTCCCATCCTTTTTTAGCCTTTCATTACTTACCACAAGATGCAGTTGTCTTATTTTGTATCTTTCCTGCCTAGCCCTGGAATCAACCACTTCTCTAAGGAGTCTCACCAAGGAATTCTGAAAAGTCCCAGTGCCCAGGCAGCACCATAGATTCATTCAGAATCTCCGGCCATGAAGTCCCCAGGAGAGTCCAATGTACACTTCAGACTGGGAACCGCTGATCTAGACCTTATATGTGTGGCTAAAGAGTAACTGTGACTATGTTAAATCTATTACATTACTGTATTTCCCAGAGGACTCTCATGTTCCTTGAAAACAAGGGGCTCTTGGGACCGGCGCTATGGTGCAGCGGGTTAACGCCCTGGCCTGAAGCACTGGCATCCCATATGGGCACCTGTTGGTATTGGGCTGCTCCATTTCTGATCCAGCTCTCTGCTATGGCCTGGGAAAGCAGTAGAAGATGGTCCAAGTGCTTGGGTCCCTGCACCCACATGGGAGACCTGGAAGAAGCTCCTGGCTCCTGCCTTCAGATCAGCGCAGATCCAGCCATTATGGCCATCTGGGGAGTGGACCAACTGATGGAAGGCCTCTCTCTCTGTCTCTACCTCTCTGTAACTCTTTCAAATAAATAAAATAAACCTTTAAAAAGAAAAAAAGAAAAAAGCCACGCTCTGCTTGTCTATCTCTCCACCGCACCCAGCTGGATCTAGCACATGAAAAGCTCTCAGAAAGACTAAATGAATGAAACTTAACCAAATGAACCAAGTCTCTGCTCCCTTAGGGAAATCAGACTAGGTCTAATTTCTATTTTCCTAATCCTTCATCCTTCATAAACTACTATCTTTTGTTGCTTTTTTTTTTTTTTTTTTTTTTTTTTTTGACAGGCAGAGTGGACAGTGAGAGAGAGAGACAGAGAGAAAGGTCTTCCTTTGCCGTTGGTTCACCCTCCAATGGCCGCCGCGGCTGGCGCGCTGCGGCCGGCGCACCGCGCTGATCCAAAGGCAAGAGCCAGGTGCTTCTCCTGGTCTCCCATGGGGTGCAGGGCCCAAGCACTTGGGCCATCCTCCACTGCCTTCCCGGGCCACAGCAGAGAGCTGGCCTGGAAGAGGGGCAACTGGGACAGAATCCGGCGCCCCGACCGGGACTAGAACCCGGTGTGCCGGCGCCACAAGGCGGAGGATTAGCCTAGTGAGCCGCAGCGCCGGCCTCTTTTGTTGCTTTAAGGTTTATGCCAAACACCTGTTTTCTGAAATCTTGAGTCAGTGCAAGAAAAGCAACAAGAAGTCTTGCCCACCATGAAGGCCTCAGGCAAACTTTCCAGGCAGAATCCTGTGTCTCTTTCCTGGATGGGCCCCTGTTGGATCTGAAACCAACTCCTGCAATTGTGTCCTCTTCCACTACCTGTACCTCCAACAGACTGTCTGCTGCATCAGAAAAGGCAGCACCTTCTTTATTTCCCTCACCTTGTTCCTGCTTCCTATTTCTGGCCTGTTTCAAGGTCTCGGTCTTTTTTGCAGAGAACTAAGGGTACAGGCACTAGAGCTGGCCACCCAGAGTCAAATCCCAATTTCCCCACCAATAGGTTTTCAAAAAGTTCATGGAAAACCTATTATGAAAAAACTACGTGGGGCCGGCACTGTGGCGTAGCAGGTAAAGCCCTGCCTGCAGTGCTAGCATCCCATATGGGCGCCAGTTCAAGTCCCAGCTGCTCCACTTCCGATCCAGCTCCCTGCTATGGCCTGGGAAAGCAGTAGAAGATGGTCTAAGTCCTTGGGCCCCTGCACCCACATGGGAGACCCGGAAGAAGCTCCTGGCTCCTGGCTTCAGACTGGACTGGCACTGTTCCAGCTATTGCAGCCAATTGGGGAGTAAATCAGTGGATGGAAGACCTTTCTCTCTCTCTTTGCCTCTCCTTCTCTCTGTGTGTAACTCTGACTTTCATGTAAATAATCTTAAAAAAAAAAAAAAAAGAAAAAACTATGCATGGATTTCAGACTTCTTTGTACCAAAATAAACTTCTCTTTTAATTCCATTTTTTCCACAACTTTTTTTTAAAGGTTTATTTACTAATTTAAAAGAGTTACAGAGAGAGAGAGAAAGAGAGAGATCTCCTGTCCACTGGTTCACTCCCCACATGGCCACAGCGGCTGGCCCGAGTACTTGGGCCATGCTCCAGTGCTTTTCCCAGGCCATTAGCAGGGAACTGGCTCAGAAGTGGAGCAGCCGGGACAGGAACTGGCATTGCAAGTGGTGGCTTTACACACCAGGCTGCAACGCTGACCACCCGGCCCCACAACCTTCTTGAAGTATCCTTGTATATACCTGTACAAATTACTGAACCTCTCTAACAGCACCTACTTTGCAGGATGGATGTGAGAAGTGAGAACACTTTTGCCATCTGAGAGCACAATGTGGGCTCAGAAATGGCTGTTGTAATCATCATTGTTGGGAATGGAATCAGTTTCCTGAATCATAGAGGAGACCGAAGCTGCAGGGTCCAGTCAGTGGGTGATAGAACCAAAAATCATGCACTGGTCTTCCTGGTCCCAAGTGTTTCCACCTTTTCCCTTCTTTTTCTGTGTGAGAAAATGTCAGAAGAGCATACTCACCTCCTCCAGGTCTGCTTGAAACACAAGTTTTCAAGAAAAGACTTAAAGGACTGAATTAATGGAAGAAAATGTCAAGTTGAGAAAATGCTGGCCTTTCCTCTTACTTGGCTGCCCATCTTCTCCCTCTGGCTTAGTGGAGGAGTGTTTCCCGGTAACACTTTTGTTCTGAAAACTAAGTAATCAATCAAGTAACCAACCAAACCACTTTTGTTAGACATGCTGCAGACACTGGGAAAGACGCCTAGGACCTGGCATAGGCCAGAAGGAATATACTCCATATATACCCAGCCAAGGAGTACAAGAGAGGTCTCAGAAGGTCTGGAAGAGGGGGAATCTCTCTGGAATGATAATGGGACCACAGGCCTGCAGAGGGGAGAGAAACAGCAAAATTTCTATATCATGTGCTGAGCTAAGGTTTGAGACAGGAGGGAACACTCTACCCTTGATGTTTAAGCCAGTTCTAAACATATGCAAATCGCTTTAGCCCCGATTTGATACCTCTTTTAAATTAACTAGAACAATCAGTACCATTTAAAGAAAAATGCCCAGTGTCTTGGATTATAAAAACCAGAAATTGCACTTAAGTGTGATAAAAAGACATAAAAGGTTAAAGAGCTGTGGTTTTGGAATGATAAAGCAAGTAGGTACAAGCAACCAGGGACAGCACAACCAGGAACAGAGAAAACTGCATAAACTTACCCACAGGGAAAATGCCCCAGACCAAGGGTTTTTAGGAATAGTATAGAGGGCCTTCCTGCAATGATCGCCAGAGAAACCCAACCTTTGTAAGTCACATATTCAATATTAGACTCATAAATTGCCTTTTTATTTATGTGTACTCTGTCAGAATGTTTGACTTTAATATGTCCTTACAGCTAACAACTTCAACACACACAGAAAGACTGAGAGAACTATGCAGCACCATTTAACAGCTAATGAGATAAACAAGAAAATGCATGGTGGAACTCTGCTAAACTTCAAACTATTTATTTTGATGTTGTATCTTTCTAGATTTTCTATGGACATCTGGAGATAGATTCCCAAACAGAATGCGGGTATTTTATTTTATTTTATTTTCTCTTTTTAAAAATATTTATTTTAAATGATAAAGATCTCCCATCTATTGGTTCACTCACCAAGTGCTCACAACAGCCAGGGCTGAGCCAGGCTGCAGCCAGGAGCCAGGAACTCCAGCTGGGTCTCCCATGTGGGTGACAGGTACCCAAGTATTTGAGCCATTATCTGCTGACTCCCAGGGTGCATATTATCCATTAAGTGCATATTATTCCAGGAAGCTGGAATGGGTTAATTCTTGAATCGGGGCACACTGATTCGGCATGCAAGTGTTCCCATTGGCATCTAACTACTTTGCTAAACAGCCACCCAAGCCTTTTTCTTTCTTTAGGGACGTGAAGATAGATGTTTAAGAGGTTGAGAAACCTTTCATAAACAGACAGGTATGTTCTACAGATATACTCATATTTCAACGCCAAGCTCTGTTTTCACCTTCTTTACTTATATGGGGGGCCCAAACTGTGATCTATATTCTAATTCATACTTACCTGTGAGCAAACATGGAATCAGAGCGAAGAACCACAGGACAAGACTTGTGCAAATGTCTTCCAGAACCATTGTGAGTCTGTTTAGCAGATTCAGTTTGATCCGGAACACTGCTCTCTTCCAGGATGAAGTGTTCTGTCCGTCTCAGCCATCTTGCTTCAGAATGCAGATGTTGAAGCTGAGGTCTGAGTTCCAGGAAACCTTCGTTGTTCTGGCAAGGGGAGCTGGCCCAGACAGCTCACAAGGGGCGGGCTCTGCTGCACCCTCCTCCAGCCAGGCATAAACCCAGGGAGTGGCCCCAGATAGTTCCAGAGAAATGCTGGGGAGCCTGAGAACCTGCCTGGAAGAGATACCTGGAGCACAGATTCTGTCTTGGGGGGACCCTGATGCTTCCTAGAAGCCAGTGAGCAGGCAGGGTTATGTTCTCACTCTTCTCAGTCTCCCTCTGAGGTCATTCAGGCTGGGTACTGATTAGCTTTTTCTGCCGATCCTTCAGAAAAAGCAGAGAAGTTAAAAGAAATGAGGACCTTTGTAAAAATGAAGCGGTGAAGAAGTTTCATACTTGCATGAATTTGAAAAGAAAATCTGGAAGGAGGTATGAGAAACTAACAAGATCGGTTAGCCTGGGGCAAGGGAGTGGGCAGTAGAAAGATGGAGGAGAAAAATGGAAACAAGACTCTAAATATTGTTTTATAGCATTGGATTACTGACCCAGGGGAATGTATTATTGAAAAATTAAAGCCAATTTTTAAGTTATTGGAGGAAAACTTTATGATAAGGTTTGAACCCTTATAATTTAGCTCTGTAAGACTGTAAATACTCTAAGGTGCAAATACAGTAGTGGATAAACAGGGATTTTAGAGTGCAACAGGCTTTGGTTCTATTTTTAGAACTCATTTATATTGCAACCTTAGGAAAGTTAGTAACTTATTAACATTTACCGAGGGCCTACTGTGTGCCAGATCCTGGGATTTCAACAGTTTCTGCCCTCAACAAGAACTTCCCAACCGGCAGAGAGGATGAACGTGGGAATGAACGTTCTCAGTATTGAGAACAAAGTTTCAGAAATAGTCACAAGGGAGTACAGGAGCACTGAAGAGAACCAACCAACCCAGGGGGCTTCCTGGAGATGACACTGGGGCTGAGAAACAAACTCTGGGGGGAGGGGGGACCAGAAAAAGAAATTTGGTGCAACGGGACCAAGAAATAGGCCTCAAAGATAGCCAGAGAGCTTTGAATACTTTCTTGAGGGGCTTTAGTTAATCCTGAGAGCAGCCAAGGTGAAAGGATCTCACATCTGATCTAGCCATTCCCTGCACTTGGATTTTTAAGTTTAGGACTAGGGTGGAGAAGGCAGGGAAGGAGCCAGACTGGAGGGAGGAGGGCCAGAAGGGAGTTATGGCAGTCATCCAGGTGAGAGATGTTGGCCTCCCTAGGTTCCCATGCCTGTAGAGAAGTGACTAAACTAGAAAGGAGAAAGGAGGTAGAGCTGAGAACTCCCGGGTATTGAGTGGATTGGGAGGGTCAACGAGCAGAAGCCAAACATGACTTTCAGGTTCTGGATTTGAGTAACTGGGCGAATGGCAACACCTCAAACAATGGAGAAGAGGCTGGGGTGGGGTCAGGGCAGGCAGAGTTAGAGGTGGTACAAAGAAAGGCTGCACACGTTCAACATGATACTCTGCAATTTGAGCTGCTTATATGGGGAGGAGGAGTCTCCAGTATGTAGATAGTTTTTGTCCCAAGTTGATGGGTATCAAAGATATGGTACCATCTCCCCAGTGGTAGCTGAGTCCAGGATGTGGAGAGATCATTTAAGAAAAGTATGGAGGGGCTGGCGCTGTGGCGCAGTGGGTTAACGCCCTAGCCTGAAGCGCCAGCATCCCATATGGGCGCCAGTTCAAGACCCGGCTGCTCCTCTTCCGATTCAGCTTTCTACTGTGCCTGGGAAAGCAATAGAAGATGGTCCAAATCCTTGGGCCCCTGCACCCACATGGGAGACCCAGAAGAAGCTCCTGGCTCCTGGCTTTGGACTGGCGCATTTCCAGCCATTGCGGCCAATTGGGGAGTGAACCAGCGGATGGAAGACCTCTCTCTTGCTCTCGCTCTATCTCTCCTCTCTGTGTAACTCTGACTTTCAAATAAATAAATAAATAAATAAATCTCTTTTTTTAGAAAAAAGAAAGCTATGGAGATTGATATTTATTTTTTAAAGATTTATTTTATTTGAAAGAGTCACAGAGAGAGAGAGAGAGAAAATGAATGAGAATCGTCCATTTGCTGGTTCACTCCCCAAAAGGTCTCAATGGCCAGGGCTGGGCCAGGCTAAAGCCAAGAGTTTGGAACTCCATCTGGGCCATCTTCTGCTGCTTTCCTAGGCACATTAGCAGGGATTTGGATCTGAAGCAGAGCAGCCAAGACTTGAACTGGCACTCCTATGGGATGCCGGCATCACAGATGGTGGCTTTACCTGCTATACAACAACACTGGCCTCAGTGGAAACTATGAGGATTAAAAAGTACAGTATTTGTGCCTCTGAAGAAGATTCACACTTACGGACCAGGCCACAAAAAAGAAGTAGGAAGATAAAGGATAGATTCGAGGTGGTCTTGGAAACAATGAAGAATGAAGTCATTATTAAAAGGGGGAGTGCAGAAGGGGAGGCCACTAAGTCTCTCATGGAAGAATGGCTGCCTGGAATGGGCGCTGTCTTAGCAAGTAAAAGCTGCCGCCTATAGTGCTGGTATCCCATTAGGGTGCCAGTTCAAGCCCAGGCTGCTCCACTTCCAATCCAGCTCCCTGCTAATGTACGTTGGAAAGCAGCAGCTAGTCCAAGTCCTTGGATCCCTGAATCCACATGGGAGACCTGGAAGAAGCTCCTGGCTTCGGATGGGCCCAGCTCTGGCCATTGTGACCATTTGGGCATGGAAGACCTCTCTGTCTCTTCCTCTCTTTGCAACTCTGCCTCTCAAATCTTTAAAAAAAATTTTGAAATCCAGTTTTCTCATAATACAACTTTCCAAATTTTGAAGACTCTTCACAGGTGTGAGGTTCAAAAATGTATGCACCAAGACAAACTTACCTTTGAATTCATTTTCTCACAAACCTTCTGAAGTATCCTCACATATTAGCCATTCATTGTAAAATATCAGCAATAAATGATTAGGGGTTATTTGCCAAGACTGACTGGCCTTTTGCTGCCTGCCAACTTCTGGTTTAGCTCCAGGACCAACGCGGCTTGGCTCCCAGTTGGAGGTATCTACTTGGGGACGGGGTAGTAATTAAAAGCATGAGTTCTGGAGCCAGACTGCCAGGGTATAATCCAACCTGCACTTAGAGGTTGTTTTTTTTTTTTTGGGGGGGGGGTGGCAAGTTATTTCAACTGTCTGCCTTAGTATTTTCATGTGTACACTGGGAACAATTATAATTGTTAACTCATAGGGACATTGTGAAGACTAAATGAGAAGATACACAAAATAGGTGTGCAGTAAACCAGTGACCTCACCTATGTCCCAATCTCTGGTCACTAGCTGTTTGTATGGTCCCTCACCGCTCCCCTGGCATTTGACCTTGCCTAATATATTGCCTGTGGGAATGCACAGCCTAACTTGGAGAGCCTCCCATCTGCTTCATGCATGGCTTCTTCATCCGCCCCAGTCTTATTTTTGTTCTCCCACACCTGCCTTCCTGATTCCTTTCTCCTAAATCCACTTATGCTCAGTTCCAGCATGTCAAAAGCTAACAATGTATACTGGGCTATCCACTAGCTTCCAGTTGTCCTAAATAAAAGGCTTCCACACATTATATACATTTCCATATATTATACAACTTGGTCTTCCACTTTTCAGATAAGAATACAAGACTCAGAGAAATTAACTGTGGACCAGAGAGCTAGACAGAGATGAAGACACAAACTGGCAGCCAAATCTGCCTAAATCCAAGTCCCTTTTATTCACCTGAACAGCCTCGTTAGCACTAAGGGAGTGCTCACAACGTGCTAGGGGGTGGAGAGAGAGAGAGAGTGAGCGAGCCAAGAGAGTAGCCAAAGCTTTAGAGAACAGGAAGACCCCAATGTGGAGTTCCAAGGCTATACTTACTGTATTTGGCTACTAGGGGGAGATGTATACACTGTGCAGCCTTCCAATTGGGAAAATGACATGACAAGGCTCAAGAATAGAAAGGCTGAGGGGAAAAAAGACTGGATTAGAGGATGAGAAGGATGAAACAAGTGAACAGAGAAGATGAACAAAGAGTTAAGATTCATTTGGTTGTTCTATAGGTGAGAAATCAAAGTTGCCCACCAAACCTTGTGATGGATAGCTAGCTCTACCTGGGCCTGGGTCCCTGTCAGGACAACCTGCCAACTGCTGCCAATCTCTGAAAGACAGTGTCACCTGCCAATCCCTCACAAACAACTGCAAGAAGAATCGCTGGGGGCCGGCTGCTGTGGTGCAGTGGGTTAAAGCCCCCAGCCTGCAGCGCCAGCATCCCATATGGCTGCCGGTTCGAGTCTTGGCTGTTCCACTTCTGACCCAGCTCTCTGCTATGGCCTGGGAAAGCAGCAGCAGATGACCCAACTCCTTGGGCCCCTGCACCCACACAGGAGACCCAGAAGAAGCTCCTGGCTCCTGGCTTCGGATCAGCTCAGCTTTGGCTCTTGCGGTCATTTGGGGAGTGAACCAGCAGATGGAAGACCTCTCTCTTAGGCTCTACTTCTCTCTGTAACTCTTACAAATAAATAAAATAATTATTTAAAACAAAAAAGAATCATCATGTCTGTCCTGGGCTCAGTACCCCTAAGGGGGAACTAGGGATTAATGTTATCCACCTATCATACTATCATATTTTTTTTAAGTTTTCATTTTATTTCAAAGTTAGAGACAGAGATCTTCCATCCAGATTCACTACTCAAATGCCTGCAACAGCCAAGGCAGGGTCAGTCCAACATCAGAAGCCTGGAACTCATTCCTGGTCTCTTCTCCCACATGGGTGGCAGGGACTCAAGTACTTGAGCCATGACCTGCTACCTCCCAGGTAGGAAGTGGGATTAGCAGAAAGTAGCCAAGAGCCAGGCACTCTGATACAGCAAGTGGGTGTCCCAGGCAGCAATTTGAATGTTGGCCCTGGTCATGAGTTTTTTTTTTTTTTTTAATATAAAGATACCTTTTAAGATTTTATTTTATTTGAGTGTTATAATTACAGTGAGAGGGAGAGACTGAAAGGTCTTCCTTCCACTGGTTCACTCCTCAAATGGCCACAACAGCCAGAGCTGCGCTGATCCGAAGCCAGGAGCCAAGAGCTCGAAGCAGCGCCCATACGGGATGCCACAGGCAGATTAACCTACTGCGCCACGGCGCCAGCCCCTGATCATGAGTTTTGAATCCTTTTTTTTGACAGGCAGAGTGGACAGTGAGAGAGAGAGAGAAAGGTCTTCCTTTGCCGTTGGTTCACCCTCCAATGGCCGCCGCGGCCGGCGCACCGCGCTGATCCGATGGCAGGAGCCAGGTACTTCTCCTGGTCTCCCATGGGGTGCAGGGCCCAAACACTTGGGCCATCCTCCACTGCCTTCCCGGGCCCCAGCAGAGAGCTGGCCTGGAAGAGGGGCAACCGGGACAGAATCCGGCGCCCTGACCGGGACTAGAACCTGGTGTGCCAGCGCCGCTAGGAGGAGGATTAGCCTAGTGAGCCACGGCGCCGGCCTGAATCCTTTTCAAACCCTGGTCTTAACCCAGCAGCTCAGACCATCTGCCTTTGCTTGGGCCTGTCATGGGTTGGGGGCTTCTGGGAGAACTATGTATGTCACATGCTGGCCCCTACTCTTGGCCTGGACATCTCTGACTCTGACCTTGGCTTCCCTTTTGGTTTTGAGGTACCCTTTTGAAACCATCTCATCACTGGTAGTAATCTCAATGACATGCCCAAACCATCAGGATTTTCTATCTTATTGCATTTCTCAAGTTAATTTCCACTGTCATAAGAGGAGGATCATCCACATCTGAAGATGAATTGCTGGGGGAAAAAAATGAAACTTCTTCCTATTACATGTACAAAAATAGGATTTTTTCCTCCCTATTTTATTATTTGCCACTTAAACCTTTGATGTTTAATTATAAAAGGTTTTCATGGAAAGACAGAGGCACTGGGGAGGAAGGGGAAGTTTGATGGCCAAGGAAAAGACTCCTTAAGCCCTCTGTGCCCTGCAGGGCCAGGTCTAGAATGAAACAGGGCAACACTTAGGGTGTAAAGTCAATGCACTCACTCTCAGGGTTGTATAGCCCAGGACAGGCCTTAGTATGATGGACACTTTAATGCATTCTATTAACCGTGCCTTGTCTTAACACAAAAAGTTCCTTCTCTTCACATGAAGATCCCTAAACCCTGTACATAATGATTTTTTCTCACACATAATATCCAGCTGTAATGCAACATTCCTACCTAAGAAGTAATAGGGAATTTAAACAGCAGATTCCTCTGGCCTTATTTCTCTAACTGCTCCAGGTGTCATTTCCACACACTTTAAAGCTCTGATTTTCAGGGCTCCTGCAACTTTTTTCACCTCCTCTGAACAGGCTTTAGTTTTCAATTTCTTCCCTAATGTTTACTTTTCTGGTCATCAGGAATTTAACCTCCTTTGACCTCAATTCTTTCCTTGGGGTGTGACCAATTAAAATCCTTAAGTGTGCCAAACTATTCTCCCATAGTTGTAACTGATTTCTTTTTCTATACAACATCCCCCGACAACTTCTCTTAAAAGGAAATTCAGACTTCAGAAGAGCCCTTTGTTCCACATTTAAATAAAACAAATGCCATTTCAGTCAATTTTAAAATTAGAAAACCAGGAACAGTGCTCCATAATACTTATAGGCATAATTTTCATATGATTTTGGTTGTTGGATTTCAGTCACTGATTAGGATTAGTCATCAGTGATTCTGACTGGTGTACATATGTTCAATAGTCAATTTTATCAGAGGTCTCCCTCAAGCATACTCTATAAATTAGCAACCTCACTTTTGCTTTCCAACCCACCAAGCCACTCTTTAAAAAAAATCAGAGCTCTTCTTCATTAGGCATTATGCAAGCTTTCTTCACTGTTCCACTGCTAGGGTGGGACAGCCTGGCACCTGAGCAATAAAATTTGAGGTGAGGTACTTAGATAGATGGACGATGGATAAATACTTACAAAAGCTATTTAACCATAGATACAAAAGCTATTTAACCATAGATACAATCATATTGAGACATAAACAGCTTTAAAAAATGTTTTCATCTTGACACCAAGAACAAATCACTTTCTTCTCTATATTATTCCCCTTGTCCGTAGTTTAGAACACTTACCAGGTTTGTCTGAAATTACTTGTTTATAATTTTTAAAGACAGAAAGAGGGAGAGATCTTCCATCCACTCATTCACTCCCCAAAATGCCAGCCAGTTCTTCCATGTGGGTAGCAGGCCTCAAGCACTTGACCCATCATCTGCTGCCTCCCATGATGCAGTAGCAGAAGTCAGATTAGGGGTGAAGCAGCTGGGACTCGAACCAGCGCTCCAATACAAGATGTGGGCATCCCAAATGGCGGCCTACCCCACTGTGCCATAACATCCACCCCCATAATTTGGCATTTTTTTTTCAAAATCTGCTGGATTTTGTTCAGAATACAAAATGAAGAAATCTTATATTACAAGTCCTTTAAGGAAAAAGGACAAGTTGTAAAACAGTTTGAAAACAGCTAAAAGATCTATAAAAATGCAGTATTACAAAGGACACCTCCATCTAGTATTCAAATGCTGCACTGCTAATTTATTGATTTGGACAATGCATCTGAAATATTTCTGAAATGTGAGAACTTTCACATTCTAAAGCAAACACTCCATGTTACAGGGAAAGTACAGAAAAAAAGTAACAGGATTTGGAGATATAAACTAGGAGAATAAGGATTGGGTAAGGGACTTTTTTATTACCCTGTTTGGACTGAATTTTTCCTCAGTGTGCACTGATAAAAATAAAGGGCCCATACCTACTAAGTTCCAGTTAGTCATTTCAACTCCTTTGTCAGCTTCTTGCTTTTACAAATAAATTAGAACTCTGAATTTTATGTGACATTTCCAATATTTAAACATTGGCAATTCAAACACCATGTGGTTTGAACAGTATTCCTTTCCAGTAATCTGAACAAGGCACCCCACCAAGGATGAAATTCAGATTTCTGAAGGGTCTAAGGCCTGTCTGGGGAAAGGGCACTTTTCCTAATTCTCACAGAGAGTGGTGACCTATGGATTACACCACTGAAGATGATTTACAGGCCAGGTATCAATCTATGAGGATGACCCCTAACCACCCAAAGCTGCACATCTGCTAGGTCTTTATTTTTTCTAGCAGTAACAATGGATTGTACTTGGCCTTCCTATTTTAGTGATACAGTGTAAAAGGCTTTAATAGTGCTCAATGTATATTGTTAATGTTAACTGTGTAAAGTGATGTGTGTCATATGTGTGTGGACACACATTAAACTGAACCCTAAGGATTTATGACCAAATAAAAGATACAGCAATAGCAGAAATGGATTGGTTGAGCAGGGTTATATGTGCTATGTATATATAAATGTGATAGCTAAGAATCTCCTCATGTGTGGAATAAAACTTCTGTAAAATTGCCTTCCCAGGACCCTCCTCCTAGTCTAAAAACAAGCACAGGGAAGGTTTTTTGTCACCATGTAGAAAACATCAAGCTGGGAATAAGGAACCCTGGTTTCTAAGATAAGTCCTGCTGCTATTTCTAAGGTACCAGTTCTTAATATCAGCTTGGGGTATGCTATGCTCAAGTCTGTGATACAAGGTAATAACTGTTTTTTTTTTTTTTTTTTTTTAAAGAAACATGCATTGTTTTCATGAGGGGTGGACCACAAAGAACAAAGTATCAAGTGTACGTTGAAAGTTAAACAAAATGATGTTTACTATCTTTTCACTTTACAACTACTTTTCCTCAATTTATGTTCTTGTAATTTTATGTGATTTTACAGCAAAAAGGGTAAGCACACTGGATCTTTATTTACATTAAACTTATCCACTCAATAATAAGGGAGCACCCAAATTAGAAAGATAATGAAATATGAACTAAAAGGCTCTAAAAGCATAAGTAATAAATCAAAATTTGTACACTGATGTCTTAATTGTATCTGTTGATTTCTGCTGTTAGTGGGAGAAGCCAGGCCTGCCACCCAGTGGCAATGTAAGTCTCTGGTTTTCAGATTTAAATAAAGAAAAAAAAAGTATTTTAATCAATGAAGTGAGAAAGAAAAATCTCATAAATTATAAAATATCCATGTTACAATCAGTAATTCTGGTGTACTGAATGTTTACAACAGCAAAGAATGGAAACATTCAGAGGCTTTGGTAGTATTGGAGACATTTTTTAAAATATATGACTTTCTAATGTTTACTAAGCTATGTGGTTTTAGTTGTTACCATTATTAAAATGTTGATGGTTACCTGCTTAAATTTTAATCTCCAGAATAAATACTGGAGAGAAAAGCTGTGACCATAAAATACAACTGGTTTTCTTCTGTAGCCTACAGAAGTAGATTCAATACTTTCCAGTAGCCTCTCATCCAGACACCCACTCTCCTATCTGGTAAATAAAATAGAACTCCCTAATCATAAGCACATTCCACTTTTCCCTCAGATATACAATTTTAGTGTCCCAGTGAACAAATGTAGGAAATGAAAACAGGAAACACTATTCTAACAATTACAGATGTTTAGGGAGAAAAACTATAGGTATCTGACTGCCTCCTATTTCCCCAAAAGTCAGACGTAATTTATTTCACCCTGGTATAAATATAACATGTACTTATACAAGATGCTTTGGTAAAATAACACAAGGAGAGAAAGCAACACTACAGCAGCTGTTTAGTTTTAAGCTAAATATTTTAGAGATTGCTCTGTTCTCTTGAATAACCACAAAAAACACCTCCCAAAATGAAGAATTTAGTGATTTTTGCTTCCAACAGTTATAAATTAAAATTGTACAAGCTGTTTTCTAACCCATGTCCCACCTGCTTTGTAGTACATTGAAGATAATGAATGCATTTTTTAAAAATAATGGCAGACATAATACTTTACTTTGTATTTACAATGGCTGTGGCAAATACAATACCTGAAAATAATTTCTAATTTTTCATTTATTATTGCTATTTAGTCACAGAAAAGATTAACATTCTCCAAGAAATTTATTTTACCATATGCTATATATATAATTTTATATGAAGAGAAACCATTGCAGAACTAACAGGGTGCCACTAAAAGGAAATAAACAAATGGCAATAGAGGAATTCTTCCATATAAAGACTTCTGATCTGTATTATTTGACTTTTTTTCAAAATACAAAACCTCAATATTAGAAGCAAAAAGGAAAAAGTAAATAACAGAAGACCAAAGATAAGGAATTGTTCTATGTGAATGCATTGCATACGTAGCATATGTGAATGAGCTGAGTTATAATAAAAATACCTATGGTATATAGTCAATTCTCATACAGAGTTAGAAATAGCAATTTCCAATCAAGTATGACTGGACCAACGTTATCTCAGTCTTCAATTACATGATGAATTAAAGCTGTACAGCAGTCACTTCTGAGCAGCAGTATCATGATAAATGCTTGACAAGATATAATTTTTCTCCTTGTTCACTTGTAAAAATTGGTGCCTTTTTGTAATGTTCTACAAGTTCTTCCATGGTGCTGAATTTACGCTGCCCAATGCAGTAGACAGTCTCTTTGAGTTGAACTTTAAAATGCTTGTTTTTCCCTTGTGCTTTTAGTGATACAGAGAAATCATTTGGCTGAAAGAGAAAAAAAAAAAAACATTCTGAAAGCCATCTATCAGCATTTTTATATTAAACTAATAACATAAAATGTGATCACTTACTAAAGTACAAGTACCATGCAAAATTATTTACATGCTAAATAACCTATCTCCTTTACTCCTCAAAACAAATTTTTTTAAAGACGGAAAAACACTAAGTTGCCCAGTATCATCCATCCAGCTAACAAAAGAGTCTCAAGTGAAATCCATGTAGTCAAGAGTCTCATCATCCGTGGCACCCATGGCATAACATAATGGAAAATCTTTAGTTTAACAGTTGAATCACTAGAGCTATATTCTCTCCAGACTATTGGAGAAACACATGAAAAAAAAAAAAATCTAAGGGATCCAGCCTACAGCTCTTCAATTTGTTGCTAATAGTAACTGATAATACTCTGAATACTCAGATAATACTCTGAAGTCTCAAAAATGAAGGAAATGTCAATGAGAACTGAACTCTAATGAGAGGTCACAAACTCAAATGCCTACAAGGGTCAAAAGAGTAATGTAAATAAGAGGTATAGGGAGGGAAGAGTAGATAGACAGTGTATGGCCAATTTAAAACAAGCGGTCATTTCCTCAGCTGTGAGTGTGATCTTGCAGGAACACAGCCTCAATGCTGGCAAGTATTCCAATTTTATTTTACTCTTACTGTGTATATATCTGATAGGTATGTGTACACGTACACAAACACCCCAGTGGGCGGGCAGGGATTCACTGGTTTCACTCCCACGCAAATGCCTACAATGGCCAGGGTGGGGCCAGAACTCTGCTGGGAGCCAGAACTCAATCCAGGTCTCTCATACAGGTGGTCGGGAAACCAATTACTTGAGCCATCACCACTGTCTCCCAAGGCCTGCATTAGCAAGAAGCTGTAATCAGGAGCTGGAGCTGAGAACCCAATCTCGGTACTCCATCGTGGGATGCAGGTTTTTTTTTGGACAGGCAGAGTGGACAGTGAGAGAGAGACAGACAGAGAGAAAGGTCTTCCTTTTGCCGTTGGTTCACCCTCCAATGGCCGCCACGGCTGGCGCACTGCGGCCGGCGCACCACGCTGATCCGAAGGGGGGAGCCAGGTGCTTCTCCTGGTCTCCCATGGGGTGCAGGGCCCAAGCACTTGGGCCATCCTCCTCTGCACTCCCGGGCCACAGCAGAGAGCTGGCCTGGAAGAGGGCAACCGGAAAGAATCCGGCGCCCCAACCGGAACTAGAACCCGGTGTGCAGGCACCGCTAGGTGGAGGATTAGCCTAGTGAGCTGTGGCGCCGGCGGGATGCAGGGGTCTTAACTGCTAGGCTAAACATCTATCCCAAGGTCTTCCAATTTTGAAAGGGAAATCTGAAGTCTAGATTTTTATAATAAATATATCAGTATTTAAATGTGGGCCAATGTTTAAAAGACACTTTGCAGGCCAAATAAAATATGCCCAAGACACTTCTGCTTTAAGAGTTGCATTACTAGGGGCTGGTGTTGCAGGTAAAGCTGCTGCCTGCAGTGCCGGCATCCTGTATGAGCAACGTTCAAGTCCCAGCTGCTCCTCTTCCAATCCAGCTTTCTGCTATGGCCTGGCAAAGCAGTAGAAGATGGCCCACGTCTTTGGGCCCCTGCACCTGCATAGGAGACCCAGAAGAAGCTCCTGACTTCGGATCAGCACAGATCCGGCTGTTGCGGCCAACTGGGGAGTGAACCAGCGGATGGAAGACTTCCCCTCTCTCTCTCTCTCTCACTCTGCCTCTCCTTCTCTCTCTCTGTGTAATTCTTTCAGTAAAATAATAAATCTTTAAAAAAATAAATAAATAACATCGCTAAATGTAACTTTGGCTAATTTTTATGTTCAAATAGCTCCAGGGAAATACACAGTATTTTGCATTCAAACTGCTCATCTTTTTATCTAACACTCTGAATAGTATGCATCAAAGCCAGAAGGCTCTCTGATACTTTCAAACTCCCAAAGTTTCAGTGAGCCAGAATAGGCATCTCTAAAGGAAAATGGATCACTCTTTCCTACCAACTATGAGCTCTTCTGAGGGCTTAGCTACAGGCCTCATTTTCATGAACTTCACATCAGTAAGTTCAATTAATTACTCCTCTCTTTTTCCTCTCTCTCATTTTCTTCTTACTTGCTTTCAATCTTTTATACAATTAGACATTCATTTTTTGTGCAACTGCATTCACACAAAGCAAATGCCAAACATCATTTGATAAATGGAAAAGCATCAAGGAAAGAAGCCATTTGTAAGAAAAACAAGTGTTACCAAATTCTAATATCCTAGACAGTAGCCCAAATACTCAATATAAGTATGTTCTTCAATTTTCATGGTTTTATAGTTTTACTAGCTATTGCAATAAAATTTTCCTATTATTGTAAATGCATTTCAAACATGGGAAATGTAAAACAGGCTTTTGAGCTATACAAATAAGTGTATTCCAACTTCTAAACAACCAATTTATGAAGGAATTTAAATATCAAATTTTAAGTTTAGGGAATCTCCTATATGTTGTAGGAATTGTGATGATTACTTTATTATGCACTGCATCCAGTAACAACTTAAGAAATATTTTCCCAATTACATCTACTATATTATTCTACTCTCAAGGAAGAAGCCAATGTTCAGTTTCGTCTATTTTTCAGTTTAAAGCAAGAGAAAATATTCTAGGTATGTGAAGCCAACAGAGCTAGTAAAAGTCACATATTCCATGGTATAACACTGCTATAGGTATCTTTTATTAAAAATAGACAGAAGTAGAACAAATACTGACTTCAGCTTCAGAACATTTAAGTTGATGTCCCAGCTTACCACCTTAGGGAAAGATACTTTACTTCTCTCCAGTCTGTTTTTTGTTTTTGTTTTTTAATACCCAGAGCTCTGTTTCCATTCACCTTTGAAAAATCAACTTACCGAAGATTCACTATCACGAATGAGGAAATCTCCTTCATGCCCTCTTTCATTTAATGCCATTTCTGCTTGATGCCTGGTGACTTTGCCATAATACCAAGGATTGCCAGCAAACTTCCCAGTAAGTGAAGGCCTAATATAATCACATTGTGGAGGTGATGGTTCCAAACCCGAGGTTAATGGATTATTCTGCATGATGGTGACATAGTTTTTTGGCACCAGACCAACCATTCCATTGATCTTCCTGCACTTCCACCACTCCGGGTCATTTTCAGGTTTTTCAATAACATCCATGACATCTCCTTTCTCAAAATTAAGTTCTTCATCATTGGATGAGCTGAATGGGTAAAGAGCCTGTACCACATGCAACACTTGCCCAGTATTTAAGTTATTGACAACTGCTGCTAATTTCTCTGATAGAGAACCCACATGGTCACCCAAAGGACTGTCACCTTCTTCAGTTACATAGTTTGAAGGGAACCACCCAATTTGTCCATTGTAGCTACCCCGCCACCACCCATCACTGCATTTCTCCATGACGATCACCTTTGTCCCTTTTATCAGTGATAGTTCATCCTCTCTCTCAGCCATGTAGTTAAATTTCACATAAGCAGGCATGTTGAGGTCATAGAGACGTTCCCCCGGGTCAACAAAGCTATCATCAGCAGGAGATGCAGAATCTGGCACACTAGGTTTTCTTTTCACTTTTCCAATGCCTGTTTAAATCAAAAGGGGTAATGAGAAGAGAACATAAAGTAACAATTAACTAAAAACCAATTTATTCATTATTAAGAAAGGATCTTCAACTCTGTATACCTTTTATAACCTTTACACTTAGATAACAAGTCTCTATGTGGTACAACCAACTCTTTGGAAAATCAGATACAAATTCAAATAAAGATTTAATTTCAGCTGTGTGAGTTAACCTTTTCATCTTTTGTATTATCAAAGACTGTGAAGTAACTACATAAAGTTTTCCTAATATAATGAATTTTTTCTTAAATGCAAATACAGATTTCTCTCTTACCTACAACCTAAATACATAAACATTCCACTAAACCCATATTCTTCGTCTTAATTTATTAATCTAGAACTAGCTGGAAAAAATAATAGATTTTCAGTAGATATGTTAATAGAGCATTTTAGTTATGTTTGGGTAAGTTTTCTCCTCGCGTCTTCAGTTCCCAGGTAGCTCTGTTTACCTTGTGTATTTTAAAATAGCAGACTATTTGTTTCCCTTCAATCCAATCATGTGGAACCTCCACCAGTATGAAAATATTTTTATTTGCTCACAGATACAATCCCAAGAATGTGATACAGTGATTAGTACACAACAGATGCTTAATAAGTATTTGTTGAAGGAGATGAGAAAACTGTCAAATAGTACTATTATCACAAACGTATGCCATGTCAACTTTAGTAAGGCATTTTCTCTGTTGTTCCGTGATTTCATGTTTTGCTTCACCAAGAAAGCTTGCCTAGGTAAACTTTTCAAATTCCTTCCCATTGTCTCAAAACGTTCTCATTATACTCTTTCTTCATCCAAGTCCTCAATCCCTGATCCTTCTGTGGCCCTAACAGTGCTTTTTCTGACCTTTGAGATTCTTTCCCATCCTTATTTCCTTCTTACTCAGTCTCTTCAATTGTCTAAAAAAATACTCAAATCTCTTCTACTCCAAAATAAAGGCTCTTAAGCTCTACCACTTTTTAATTTTTTAAAATTTATTTGTATGTATCTTGTAAATACAACATTTGGAACATAGTAATTCTTCTCACCCATTCTCCTACCCCTCTTCCTCTTCTCTTTCTTGTTTAATCCAAGAAAGAAAAAGAAAAAGAAGAAAAAAAGGGGGGGGGATAAAATGAAAAAAAGAAATAAAGACAGGCAGACAGAAAGAGAGAGAGAGAGAGAGAGAGAAAGAAAGAAAGAAAGAAAGAAAGAAAGAAAGAAAGAAAGAAAGAAAGAAAGAAAGAAAGAAAGAAAGAAAGAAAGAAAGAAAGAAAGAAAGAGAGAGAGAGAGAGAAAGAAAGAGAGAAAGAAAGAGAAAGAGAGAGAAAGAGAGAGAGAGAAAGAGAAAGAGAGAAAGAGAAAGAGAGAGAGAAAGAGAGAAAGAGAGAGAGAGAGAAAGAGAGAAAGAGAGAGAGAGAAAGAAAGAAAAGAAAAGAGAAAAGAGAAAAGAGAAGAGAAGAAAAGAAAAGAAAACAAACTGTTACTCAATAGTCCAGACAAGGGCTGTTCAGTTTTTCCTTCTCAAAGGTGATTTTGCACTTTTTTCCCCTTCCTCTTTTCCCTTCCTTCCTCCCCCTTCTTTCCTTTTAGAAACTTAATTATCTTTAAAGAGGAACCCAAGAATGATACATCTTTTGCAAGCTCTTAGACATAACTATAACTTACAAGACATAGTAATATCCTCCACTTAATATACTAAAAAGAAGTGATTGTTGAGAACAAGTTTTACTACTGAGTCTCATGATATAACTCTTTGGGGACAGAGGTCCTGCATGGAAGTTAGTGCACAGTGACTATTATAGTTTATTTAACAATTAACACTCTAATGTATGACATCAGTGATCACCTGAGGCTCTTGACATGAGCTGCCTTGGCTATGGAAGCCTTTTGGATCCACTAGCTCGTCAAGGCCTTAGCAAAGAGGAAATTCTCTCCTCCCTTCAAAGAAAAGTACATTCTTCTTTGGTGGCTGCACTGGGGTCTCACCCACAGAGGTACTTTATTTATGTAGAACATTTTTTGCCAGAGTGTCTTGGCTTTCCATGCCTGAAATGCTCCCCTGGGCTTTTCAGCCAGATCAGAATGCCTTAAGGGCTGATTCTGAGATTGGAGTGCTATTTAAAGTGATTCTATGAGCCTGCTGTATGGACTGCTTCCCATGTTGGAGCCTTCACTCATTTTTAACTCTATTATTATCTCCAGACACTTAGTCCTATTTATATTATCACTTTTATTTATTTTATTTTTTAAAGATTTATTTATTTATCTGAGAGGTAGAGTTACAGACAATGAGAGGAAAAGACAGAGAGAAAGGTCTTCCTTCTGTTTGTTCACTCTCCAAATGGCTGCAACAGCTGGTGCTATGCCGATCTGAAGCCAGGAGCCAGGTGCTTCTTCCTGGTCTCCCATGTGGGTGCAGGGGCCCAAGCACTTGGGGCATCTTCTATTGCTTTCCCAGGCCATAGCAGAGAGCTGGATTGGAAGAGGAGCAGCTGGGACTAGAACTGGTGCCCATAGGGGATACTGCTGCCACAGGCAGAGGATTAACCTACTGCACCACAGCGCCAGCCCCTTATATGATCACTTCAACACTTGTTCCTGTCTATATGGTCACTTTACCACTTAATCCTACCCATTTAATCTCTACAACACTTAAGCTGCTGTTTTACCAGCCAGCTTAAGGGAATTTGGGGCCCTATGGCAAGTTTTTAAACTGTACCCTAACAAGTAAGTCCATAGGAATGTATGCAAAACTATATAGCTTTGCAGTTACAATCTTCATACATTTCACAATTACAACTTTAGGATTTTGGTAATTCTTCCCATTGTGCGTGTCCTCCCACCCACACTCCCACCTCCCTTCCTCTTCCCTTTCTTATTTTCACTCTTACTTTTTACTAACATCTATTTTCTGTTAACTTTATACACACATAGTTACCTCTCTGTTAAGCAGAAGTAGAGTTCAATGGTTAGTATGAAAGAAAAGGGTCACCCACTTCTTTTAAACTATATCATTCCTTAAAGTGTGACCTGGCCTTTTTCTTTAACTTTTTCACTACTCATTCACACCCACACCCACCTCTTTATAATCTGATCCTCTATTTTTTTTTTTAGTATCTCCCTCACCCTTATGTTCTTTTTTTTTTTTTTTTTAAGATTTTTATTTATTTATTTGAGAGGTAGAGTTTCAGATAGCGAGAGGGAGAAACAGAGAGAAAGGTCTTCCTTCTGCTGGTTCACTCCCCAAATGCCCGCTATGGCCAGCGCTGCGCCAATCTGAAGCCAGGAGCCAGGTGCTTCCTCCTGGTCTCCTACGCGGGTGCAGGAGCCCAAGCACTTAGGCAATCCTACACTGCCCTCCCGGGCCACAGCAGAGAGCTGGACTGGAAGAGGAGCAACCGGGACTAGAAACCAGTGCCCATATGGGATGCCGGTGCCGAAGGCGGAGAATTAGCCAAGTAAGCCACGGTGCTGGGCCCAATCTAATCCTCTATTAAAACCATTCTTCAAAAAACTTTGTCATCCCCTTAACTGCCAAATCAGTACCTTTTAGATTCCTCAGCAATCTCAAATTCTCCATGCATTAAATAATTAAGATCAAAGATCACTCTGTCTCTTAAGTTTTCTTCATCTTTTAATTCCCTGAGAGTCTCCTACTTCCCCTCCTTTCCTGTTTACATATTTTTGTGTGCCTCTGTCTGAACTCCTTTGAACTTTGTTATTATAACATTCCACTGTACTTTTTTAACTTGTCTGTCTTCCTTAATATGAGACATAAGCTTACTGAAAGCAGAAAATTAAATCTTATTCCCTGTTAACTCCATTGCTAAGCAGTACTGACATTAATGGTGGGAACAAAATGAATGGTGATTGAGTAATGGATTCCTTAGTTGGAAGTGTTTCCCAAGATGCCATACATGGCTTTCCCCTCTATTTCCAGGAAATTACACACTTTCATTTTCTATAACTTCTATGTACAAGGGTCTTGGATCTCTTTAGAGCTCTAAGCTTTCCGGAATTCAAGCACTACAATTTCAATTGTCACTAGATATCTAAAGATTATAACAGCATCTCAAATCCAACACTCATTTCCAAATAAAAATAATCCCTCCTTTACCCATAAGACAATTTCCTCTGTCCCAATTTTCTTTTTGTTTTCAAGATTTATTTATTTATTTGACAGGTAGAGAGAAAGGGAGAAGGAGAGAGAAAAGGAGAGAAAACGGGAGAGGGGGAGAGGGAGAGGGGGAGGGGGAGAGGGGGAGAGGAAGAGAAGAGAGGGAGAGGGAGAGGAGAGAGGGAGAGGAGAGAGGGAGAGGAGAGAGGGAGAGGGAGAGAGGGAGAGAGGGAGAGAGAGAGAGATTCTCTTTCCACTGGTTCACTCCCCCAAATGGCCACATCGGGGCTGGGGCCAGGCTGAAGCCAGGAGCCTCCTCTGCGTCTCTCACGTGGGTGCAGGGGCATCCTCTGCTGCCTTTCAAGGCACACTAGCAGGAAGCTGGACTGGAAGTGGAGCAGCCGGGATTTGAACCAGCGTTGACATGGGATGTTGGCACTGCAGGTGGAAGCTTCACCTTCTATGCCACAGTGCCAGCCCCTGTCCCAATTTTCTTACAACTAGTTAATGGTATTAACATTCTGAAAAAAAATCACAAAGGAGTGACATCACTAAAAATATCAAAGTAGGGATCTCCAGGGCTCCCACCAAAATGCAATTATTGTGCTGGCAAATATTGTCAGAATCTATGTTTTGCAGAACCCTAGAAGTTTCAAACAATAAAAAACTTATGAAAAAAAAAAAAGCAAACAAAATCAAAAACTACACAAAAAACTACAGCAGGCTTAATACAGAAAGAAGCTGGTGCTGCTCTGTAGTAAAGAGCACTATGGCATTTTAAATTCCCTGCCTACAATCCTGCACATTCCAAGTCAGTGGTGGCTGTGAAGAAGGCAACCTGGACTCCTATGTTAGATGCAGCAATATAG